TGTGGTTTGGATTGAGAAGGTTGAAATTTGTTAATAGACTGAGATGTTTTTGCTAGCATAGCAAGGTGATCAGCTGGTTTGTTAGGTATGTGTAGGTTTCTTTGACTCTCTTCTTGAAGTAAAAGAGAATAAACTTTTGAAAGTGAAGGCAGAGGAGATGTCAATAAAAAATGGCTTCTCAAGGATGAAAATGAATCATTAAGCCCAATGAGAAATTTCATGACAGAATCAGATTGTTGAGCATTAAACATGGCATCAAAAATATTGCAGGTACATGAATTACAAGCACCACAAGTACAACGAATAACAGGTCGATAAGTGATATACTCATCCCACAGAGATTTGAAGGCATTATAGTATTGAGTAACAGAAAAAGTGCCCTGGTCCATATAACTAAGGGATTTTTCAAGTTGGAAAACCCTAGGGCCACCACCTCAAAGCATATCGAGATTTGATTTCATCCCAAACATCCTTAGCAACAGTAAAAAACAACAAGGATTGACGAATTTCTTTAGACACAGAGTTAAGCAACCAAGACAGTACCAGATTGTTTGGCCTGACCCATGCAAGAGACTCAACAGGTGACTGAGTAAGGGAAGGGACAGAAACAGTACCATCTATGAAGCCAGCTTTATTTTTCACACTTAAGGCCATAAGAATCGCTCGCGACCAGGAGACATAGTTTTCTCCCGTGAAGACCTCTGCAACAATAAGTGCTCCCGGATTATCGCTGGGATGCAGAAAGAACGGCGATGACGGATCGTCGGTCGGTGATGCAGTGGTATGAGCAGCCATAGAAATCGTCAAGCAGTAAAGTGTATATGATCGATTGAAAACCAAAAAACACAAATCGCAAGGCTTTGAAATCGCAGATCTAGGGTTACGAAAACCAGATCTACAAAATCAAAACAACGATCGAGTAAAAGGATGATGCAGCGGAAATATAACAGCGAAAGATCTAGTGAAACTCAGCGATTGATACCATAATATGAACGATAAAGTGATCGATTCATTGAAGAAAATTCAGTGAAGACGATAGAAAGAAAAGAAGAACTTGTATTGAACGAAATCTGAAAAATGAAAAGTGTTGGTGTACAACCCTAATTCTCCCTTTTATATGGGGGAGAGATAAAACCTAATGGGCTGAACAAATATCACAAAGTAAAGGCCCAATATACAAATAACTACTAAGCCCAATGACTAAATATAAAACAGATCCAAAATATAAAAGGTCCAAATACATATAGTTGTTAGAAATTTTGTAATATATAATCGATTTTTAGACATGGCATAGTTTAAAATCACGTACAAAATTGCAATAATAGGAATAATAATTTTGATAGTTTTTCAACTAATTTAGTGGTTATGATCTCTTGAATTATTTACAAAATTACATTACTAATTACATCTTATATATTTCATATAGTTATTCATACAAAAGTAAAAAGTTTGCAATTATATTTTTCAATTTTACTAATCAAATTTACAAAATGTTATATTTAATTATTTGACTTACGATTTTAAATATAATATTCATAAATATGTCTTATAATATTTTATTTGTATCTCTACATATGCACAAAAATCGGGTATGGTTATA